TGTGCAGCCTGGAGGGCGGGGGCCGCTCGGGCGCGCCGCCTCGGCTCAGTGCTGGAGGGGGCGACGTGCGCGGAGGCCGACAGACGGGCCCTCCGCGTCGCGAACGCCCTCGCCGCCGCCACCTTTAGGCTCATCTAGGGGTGCATGTTCGGGCCCCGATCATTTTTGCGTGCCCTGAGGCCTGCCTGATTTGAAAACAGCCCCTCTTGTCCCCTCTGCTCTCCGCCTCCTCCTCGCCCTGCCCCCTCGACTCCCGCGTGTTTTCTGGCCGAGTCAGGCAGGGGGTCTTCAAGGTAGGTCGGGGCGTCTCCGATCTCAACCTCCCCGCGCGCCGTTGCCACTGCCCCCGCGGGCTGCGCGATCGCGCAGGGCGTCGCTATTTGGGTCGCCTCGGTCGCCCAGCGCTGGGCGCCGTCGCCCGAGCGTCTGCGAACGGCCCCCCTTTTGAAGCGGCCAGCGCTGGCGCGGACACGATAGCGGCCGCCGCTCGTTAGCTGCCCCGTGCCGCCAGATACAAGAGAGTTTTTAGTCAATGAGTTTCTCGGCAGTGGCCATGCGTCGGGACTAGCGTGAGGTGCCGAGTCTGTGCTTCACCAGCGGTCGTCTCGAGCTCGTGGCCGCCCTTCGCCGTTTGCACAACAAGAGGGAAAATGGCCCCGATCCATCCACGCACAGCGACTTGTCGGCATTTGGATTATCCGTGGCCGCAACACCTTTGCTCAAGTTCTTCCCACGGCCCTCCCGCCCAACTTGGGCGCAAAGAGTAACCTGTTTCACCGAGCCCGTGCTTCGCCAGCGGTCGTCTCGAGCTCGTGGCCGCCCTTCGCCGCTTGCACAAAAAGAAGGAACATGGCCCCGCTTCACCCACGTCATCATTACCTTCATCATAACTCATTCATTCATACATACACTCCATCATTCAATCATCATATTCTTTACCATCGTCATCATCATCATCATCATCCTCATCATCATCATAGCCATCATCATTATCACGATCATCGTCATCATCGTCATCACCATCCTGACCAACCCGGCGTCGCCGGTTGGCGAGGGGGAGAGCGCGGCCGCACCGTCTTCGTCCTGGATCGTGGCGCTGGCCAACGAGGTGTTGCTCATCGGTGTCGCCCTGTGGGACCTCTACGGCTCGTGGAGCGCTGGCTGGCTGACCTGCTGTCGCCGCCATAGTGGCCGCGGCGAACCTGGCCCGAGCGGAGGCGGCTCCGGCGGAGATGCGCCAGCGGGCGTGGGTCCGCTACGAAGGCGAGCCATTATCGCACCACCAGCGGCTGATCTTGGGGCGTCGGGTGAGGGTGCCGACTGAGTTGGTCTCCTTGTTCTTTGTCTTGATGCACTGTGGACGCCGACATCTATGAACAGGATTTTTCTTGCGCAGGGAGCGACATTGTTGCAGTGAGGGATGCCGGCGATCGCGGGACCTTCCCGCCAGGGGCCCGATCTGCCAACTCCTTTCGCTTCGAAGAGGCGGAACCTGACGGCGGCCGAGTAGCAGCATATCGATCTAACGGCGCTGGATTTTTGCACGACGGCCTTGACGGCCGACCACCGTCGCCTTCGGTTGCCAGCCCCGACGGGGCCGTTCTTGATCCCGTTGGCCTTCGCCGAGGGCCCCCCTGCCGCTCCGGCTGCTGGCGGCGCGCCTGCCGCAGTGGCCGCAGCGGCCCCGCGGGCCGCCGCCCTGGTCGCTGTCGGAGGTGGCCCTGGCGGGTGCACCCGCAGCCGCCGCGGGCGTCGGTGCGGCGCCAGCAGCTGGCCCCCCTGCGCCAACCGCCGCCGCCGGAGCTGCCCCTGCCGCGAGGTGGTTGCTGGTCGAGACGATGACGGCGGGCGCGCGGTCGTGACGCCCCTCCGCGGGCTCGGAGCTGAAGGGGTCGGTGGGCCTCATGCCGATGGTCGACGGCTCGTGGGTGGCCATCCGCTCCGTCACCGGGTCGACCCAGGAGTGCGCGGGGCGGGATGAGGACACCCTGCCGAACCCTGGCGTGCCAGGCGGGAGGCTGCTGCGCCAGTGGCGCGAGGCGGTGGCCAGCTTCACTGAGGAGGCCTTCGTGGACTGGTATATGCCTGGCCCGCGGACGAGCCTGTGGTGCTGCAAGTACATCGACTGGCGCCAAGGTGGGCCGTTCGACCATTTCAGATCCTGGAAGTCGACCGTGGGCTTGTCGGCCGACGACTACGGCGTCAACGATCATGGGCCTCGCATGAGCGCGATCTACACGATGGCATGCTGGGATAACCTAGACCTGCCGAACATCGCGGGTGCAGAGCAGATCCGTCGGAAGTGCCAGATGTTTGAGTTCGTCTACGTGAGATGGGCCGCGCCTCCTACCACGCCAGCACCAGCGCTGGCGACGGCGGTGGCCAGAGCGACAGCAAGAAGAATAACCACAAGGGCCGCGGTCGGGGCGGGGTCGCCACGGCCCGCTGAGCTTCGGCTTCTTCGACGAGGGTGCCGCCTTCACGGGTCTCAGCCGAGACCACGGCGAGAGCATGATTTGCCCATTGCTCTTCGAGCACGTTGCGAAGGAGGTGCGCGTGGGGGAGGGGGGGGGGGGGGCGCTTCGGTGCTGAAGCAGGTGCGCAAGGCCCGCGAGGAGCAGCGAGCCTTGCGATCATGACTACATTGCCGCCACGCGGGCCGCTTCCCCCCGGCGGCTCGCGCGTTTCTGGAGGGGGCCCAGCGGCGGTCGCCCGCCGCTCGCTGGTGATGAGCACATCGAGGGGATGCCATCAGGTAGACAACAAGTTTATTTGCCGTGCCAGAGCCCGATCAACAGCGCCGGGCACATTCAGAGGCGAACAGCTTCGCTTGCACAAGTTCGGTGGTTCGTCGTGGCCTTCGGCGGGGTCATGCTGATGATGTGGTGCGCGAGGTGGTCCACGCCCCCAACGAGCTGTGCGTCGGCCAGCCTGGTCGCCGCGGTGACCGCCTGCAGTCCGTCTCTGCGGGTCAGCAGCGGGCCTTGGACAACGCCCGAGATGCTGTTAGGTGGTTCGGTAAGCCCCGGAGGGATTGATTGGCTCAGGGCCCTTGGGGAGCTCCGAGTTCTCAGCGACTACGCCGGCGAGAGCGCCACGGTCGCTCCGCTCAACTTTGAGAATATCAACAGTCTCTCGCTCCCGGACGAGGGCTTCAGGCTCATGCCGTTTGAGACGCTGGGGGAAGGAGCTGGCAGATAGTCGAGCGGCTTCATGATGTGATGTTGTCCCAGTCTGAGGGTCGCACTCGGATCGAGTCCTGCGGCCCCCGGGAAGCTGCGCACCCACCTGGCGCTCTGGAACCCCGAGCTGCATCTCCAGATGCCGCGGTTCCTCGAGCGTCGGAACCTCATCGATTACTACGCTGACACAGCTTGCAGCGTAGGCGTGTTCTTCGTTTCCAAGCAGTCGGGGAAGCTGTGGTTCATTCTAGACGGCAGGCGCACGCCCCTGCACTTCCAGGTCCCCGACAAAGCGGCGCTCGCGTCGGGCGCGAGCTTTGCTGGCCTCCACGCGGACAGCGGGAAGCCCATCGCCGCGGCTGAGGTCGACCTGGCCGACGCCTTCTCCGCGATGCTGCTGCAGCCGGAGTTCCGGCGATGCTTCGCGCTGCCCGGGTTGCCGAGCCGAGCAGTTGGGGCTCGGCGGCAAATCGGACGGCCGCCAGCTCTGCGGGACAGACATGGTCTACCCTTGCTTTCGCTGCCCGCCGATGGGCTGCACCTTCATCCTCTGGATCTGCCCGACGATGCTGGAGGCGACGGCCTTGCTCAGCTCGCTGTCTCCATCCGCTTCGTGGACTGGCGCCCGGTGCCGCAGATGACCAGCGACGTGATCCACATTGAGTGCGTGGACAACGCTCTGAGCCTCTCGACCGACCCATAAGTGGCCGCCGCCGCTGCCTCTGCTGTGGATTTCAGCTCCGGGCGGCAGGCCTGCCGACCCATGGAGTTGAGTGCAGTTTTGGGGCCGCCGCGTTGGGCCTGGCAGTTCGATGGGGGGTTCCCGATCATCGGCCTGAACCCGGCGCTGCGGTGGAAGTTGAGGTTTGCCTTCTTGGAGCTATGCCGGAAGGGCTTCGCAAGACGATCTGGCGGGTGGTCTCTCATTTCACGTCGAGGGCGCCCATCCGCCGCGAGCTCCGCTCAGTATGGAGGCCGAGCGGCTCGGCTCTGGCCCTCTTGCCTGCGTGAGTTGTGCTGGTGTGCTGGCCTGGTTGTGTTCTGTTTTCGCGACGCACGGATGGAGGGCGGGTCCTTTTCAAAATGTGGTTTTCGCCCCAGCGCCGCGGACATTCGTTTTAAGATTTTGCAAGATTCTCAAGGGTTCTCATGACGAGCGCACCACAAAACGGTGGTTGGGCTTGATGTCGGAATGTCAGGGCGCAGCAGTCACGTTGATTCCCTGTGTTGAGGTCCTGGGATTGGTGTTCTGGCACGGCTCTGGATCGCCAAGACGCAGCATTAACAGTGATTCGCGGCGTTGATTTCCCAGGAATGGCGTTGTGCCACAATTCTGGATGTTCAAACCGTTGTCTTCCAACGGGGCAGTTCTTCTCATGAAGTGAACTGAACCCGTGTTGGCCTCTATTGTGAGGGAGTTGGGAGGGAGTGTGTGTTGCAATATCGTTGATGAGTTTTTGTTTTGCACTGGTCCTTCCTCCTCCTTCTCCTCTTTCTCCCCTTACGACTCCTGTCTAGCCATCCGTTCAGCCATCCAGTCATACATCAATCCATCAGTTCGTTTTCCCTCCTCCCCATCCCGTTCCCTCTCTGCCCTCCTCTTGCAGCCGATGGGGTGGGAGCACGGAGGCGAGCCAGACGGCAACAGCAGGGCGAGAAGTCTCCTCTCCCTCCTCCTCTCCCTCCCTCCCTCCCTCCCTCCCTCCCTCCCTCCTCCCTCCTCATCCTCATCCTCCCTCCCTCCTCATCCTCCCCTTTCTCCTTCCCGCCCTCCCTCCCTCCACGCCTCCACGTCCTTCCTCCGCTCCACACCTCGAGGACTCTGCCACCGTTGCGGACGGGGAGGAGTGCCACGACCCGCCGCTGGAGGACGCCGACGAGGGCGCCCTGCGCGAGCTGCTCTGGCTCGCGCCGGGCGGGGCCGGCAGCGAGCACGACGGGATGCTGACCTCGGTGCTGCGCGACGCGCTGCGGCCGCCGTCGCTGGGCCGCGCCTCCAACTCCGGCGCCAGCGCCGTCGAGGTGGCCTCGCCCGGCGTCTCCTCGAGCGGCCGGGGGGCGCGCCAGCGGTGTGGCCGAGGCTCGCCGGCCCTGGCCGCGGCCCGCAGGGCCTCGGGCGCGGCTGCGTCAGAGGCGAGGATCGGGGCGAGTCGCCCAGGGCAGGGTCCAGCCAAGACGCTGAAATGAGGAGCAGTTTGGACTCGGAAGGGACCCGATGTTCCTTGCGTCCTGGCGTGGTTGTTCCTCTAGCCCTTCTCGTGCACCCGGGCCTTTTTGAAGCCACAGAGGGGTTTCGTTCCTTATTTATCGTTCCTTATTTCAGCAGCCCGACTGTATTCCGGTGCGCCGATGAGCTATGTCTTCGAAAGGGCTCCCGGGCGAATGCGTGTTATGCCCGCCCCTGGGCTATTCGCACCTAATTATCGTCGCCGCCGACTGTGGGACTGGGGTGAGACGTTCCAGAACGTTAGGTCAGGCCTGTCCCTCTACAGGAGAAGTATTCCAAAATAGTCAAACAAATTATCTGGGGACGTTTTTAACATATTTTTTGAATATTTGGGAATCTTTTTAGGGTATTTTCTATTTTTCGTGCAAAATCCCCCTGCAGGGGAACAGGCCCAACCTAACCAGAGCGTGATTGAGCGCTCTGGGACGGTCGCGGCGCCCGCTGCAGCCTCCAGGGCCGCAGGGTCTAAGGCTGATGGTGATGGTGATGGTGATGGTGATAGTGATGGTGATGGTGATGGTGATGGGGATGGTGATGGTGATGGTGATGGTGATGGCGGCGGTGGTGATGGCGGCGGTGATGGTGATGGTGATGGTGATGGTGATGGTGATGGTGATGGTGATGGTGATGATGATGATGGGGATTATGATGATGATGGTGATGGTGATGGTGGCGGTGGTGGTGATAGTGATGGTGATGGTGATGGTGATGGCGGCAGTGATGGTGATGGTGATGGTGATGGTGATGGTGATGATGATGATGATGGGGATTATGATGATGATGGTGATGGTGACGGTGACGGTGGCGGTGATGGCGATGATGATGATGATGATGATGGAGATTCAGATGATGATGGTGATGGTGATGGTGATGGTGGCGGAGGTGGTGATGGTGATGATGATGATGGGGATTCAGATGATGATGGTGATGGTGACGGTGGCGGTGGCGGTGATGGTGATGATGATGATGATGGAGATTCAGATGATGATGGTGATGGTGATGGTGGCGGTGATTGTGATGGTGATTATGATGATGATGATGGTGATGGTGACGGTGATGGTGGCGGTGATGGTGATGATGATGATGATGATGATGATGATGGAGATTCAGATGATGATGGTGATGGTGATGGTGGCGGTGATGGTGATGGTGATGGTGATGATGATGATGATGATGATGATGATGGGGATTCAGATGATGATGATGGTGATGGTGACGGTGACGTTGGCGGTGATGGTGATGATGATGATGATGATGGAGATTCAGATGATGATGGTGATGGTGATGGTGGCGGTGGCGGTGATGGTGATGATGATGATGATGATGATGATGGGGATTCAGATGATGATGGTGATGGTGACGGTGACGTTGGCGGTGATGGTGATGATGATGATGATGATAATGATGATGGACATTCAGATGATGATGGTGGTGGTGATGGTGGCGGTGGCGGTGATGGTGATGATGATGATGATGATGGGGTTCAGATGATGATGGTGATGGTGACGGTGACGTTGGCGGTGATGGTGATGATGATGATGATGGGGATTCAGATGATGATGGTGATGGTGATGGTGGCGGTGATGGTGATGGTGATGATGATGATGGAGATTCAGATGATGCTGGTGATGATGACGGTGACGGTGGCGGTGATGGTGATGATGATGGAGATTCAGATGGTGATGGTGATAGTGGCGGTGATGATGATGGTGATGATGATGATGGAGATTCAGATGATGCTGGTGATGGTGACGGTGTCGGTGGTGGTGATGGTGATGATGATGATGATGGTGGAGATTCAGATGGTGACGGTGACGGTGGCGGTGATGGTGATGGTGATGGTGATGATGATGATGATGATGATGGGTATTCAGATGATGATGGTAATGGTGACGGTGACGGTGGTGGTGATGGGGCTGATGATGATGATGGAGATTCAGATGATGATGTTGATGGTGATGGTGGCGGTGATGGTGATGGTGATGATGATAATGATGGATATCCAGATGATGATGGTGATGGTGACGGTGACGGTGGCTGTGATGGTGATGATGATGATGATGGGGATTCAGATGATGATGGTGATGGTGGCGGTGGCGGTGATAGTGATGGTGATGGTGACGACGATGATGATGGAGATTCAGATGATGATGGCGATGTTGACGGTGACGTTGGCGGTGATGGTGATGATGATGATGATGGAGATTCAGATGGTGATGGTGATGGTGGCGGTGATGATGGTTGTGATGATGATGATGGGGATTCAGATGATGATGGTGATGGTGAAGGTGACGGTGGCGGTGATGGTGGTGATGATGATGATGGTGGAGATTCAGATGGTGATGGTGATGATGGTGCTGGTGGTGATGGTGATGATGATGATGATGATGGAGATTCAGATGATGATGGTGATGGTGACGGTGTCGGTGGTGGTGATGGTGATGATGATGGACATTCAGATGATGATGGTGGTGGTGATGATGACGATGATGATGTAGATTCAGATGATGATGGTGATGGTGACGGTGACGGTGGCGGTGACGGTGATGAAGGTGATGATGCTGATCATGGAGATTCAGATGATGATGGTGATGGTGATGGTGGCGGTGGTGGTGATTGTGATGATTATGAAGGGGGTTCAGATGATGATGGTGACGGTGATGGTGACGGTGGCGGTGATGGTGATGATGATGATGATGGAGATTCAGATGATGATGGTGATGTTGATGGTGGTGATGATGATGGTGTTGATGATCATAATGATGGGTATTCAGATGATGATGGTGACGGTGGCGGTGATGGTGATGATGATGAGGATGGAGATTCAGATGATGATGATGATGATGGTGCTGTTGGCGGTGATGGTGATGGTGATGATGATGATGGGGATTCAGATGATGATTGTGATGGTGACGGTGACGGTGGCGGTGATAATAACGATGATGATGTTTATAGAAATTCGGATGATTATGGTGACGGTGATGGTGGCGGTGACTGTGATGATGATTATGGATATTCAGATGATGATGGTGACGGTGACGGTGGCGGTAATGTTGGTGATGATGATAGATTTTCAGATGGTGATGGTGATGGTGATGGTGTGGAAATATGACCAGTTTGAGCTTAATCATCTCTTATGCTGCATGCATGCTTACTTGTTACACATTCGTGTGTGCGCACGTGTGTGCAGATCTTCTGCTGTTTTGACTCAGGCACCTTTCGACACCATGTCTCTTGCGAGAGAAAAGACATCCCTCGTTTTCGCCACTGACCGTCCTTGACGCGTCAGTGGTAGCGGAGCGGCGCGGTTCTCCCCCGGCCGTCTCCAGTTGCCGCCGCCATGCCGGCGGATCCTCTCAGTGGCGAACGAGATAAGGATGTCCCTCTGGCAGGCAGCGGAGAGAAAGACCAAGAGGACCAGAGTGGTGCGCCCCAGGGCGCGACAGGCAGCAGCAGTTTCACAGAAGCGCAGGCGCTCAAGCTGAGAAGCATCCTGCGTGAGGAGATAGAGGCAGTGATCACCGCCTCGAGCTCCCCGGGCCAAGCGTCGAAAGGTGCGGCTCTTCAGGCCCGCGAAGGAGCATCTGGGTCCGATCCGTGGGAGGACCTAGGCAGCGACCCGTGGCAGGACGGTCGCATGCGAGGCACCGGCGAGAATGAGAATGTGCAGTGGGGTGGCAGAGGCTGGTGGTCAGCCTCAGCCGATGCACAGTGGGATTCGCGGGCCGGTGCGGACTTGAGCCGGGCCAAGTGGTCGGGCAATGGCGGCGGGACCGCCGACGCCCAGAAGTGGAGTGCCGTGAACTGGCGCAGCAGCAGCGGTGGCCACGAGGACAGCTCGGCGTGGCCCTCGTCTTCGTGGTGGGAGAAGCCCGATCTCGGAGATCCAGATCCCTGGCTGGGTTGGAGCGAGTATCGCCTCTGGCGCCGAGGAGTCCGGCGCTGGCTGGCGGGCACAGGAGTTGCAGTCAGCCGCCGAGCAGACAAGATCCTGAAAGTGCTAGACATAGAGCTGAGAAGGAAGTTCGAGGACATATCGGACACCACCCTGGTCTCCGAGGCAGGACCGCAGGCGATCCTAGATCGCCTGGATGTGCTCAGCGGCCAGCGCCAGGACGACGAGATGAGACGCGTGGGCCGTGAGTGTTTGTTCGGGTTCCAGCGCCGCCAGGGGGAGGCATTGAGCATCTACGCGGCGAGGATGGACCAGGTCTTTGACCGCCTCTCGTCGCAGGGCCTGGACCTGAACTCCAAGTGTCGGCACCTGTTTCTCGAAGAAGGGGTCGGAGTCGACGACTCGCAGAAGCAGATGCTCAAGATCCTCAGCAAGAACACGGGAGAGTACCAAGACCTGCTGAAGGCAATCCGGGAGATGGACATGCAGCGCAACGAGAGTTTGACGCACGGCAAGAAGACCTTTGCGGAGTTCGAGCAGAGCTCCCAGTCGACGTTCTACGACGAAGACGACGGAAGCAGCAGCATCTCGTCCCTGGACTCAGAGCAGGAGCAAACGGTGCTAGTGACGATCGATCAGGCCGACATCTCAGAGCTAGAGGTTCCGACCATTTTGGCAGAGCTGGCTTCCGAGAGGCGCAAGTCGTGGAAAGAAAACAAAGACTACAAGAGGCGGCTGAAAGTGGACAGGAAGTACTTTCCTACGCCGCCCCCGGCACTGGGAGGTGCTCGACCCCCTCGCCACCGTGGTCAGGACGGTCAGGGACGTCCTCGGAAGGAGAGGCTTTCGCTTCAACAGTTGATGAAAGCTACGAAATGCCACAAGTGCCATCAGAAAGGTCACTGGGCGAGGGAATGTACGAATCCATCAGCAGCAGGTTCAGGCATAGCAGCGCCGCCGAGACCAGCGACAGCTCCGAAGGCAGGCTTCTTCGCACTGACGACCGACGGCACCGC